GATAAGATTGCCTCACCGACAATCCCAGCACAGAATGCGATATAAATGAGTTTTTTTAAATCCCATTTCGTGTATGCTGAAAAAAGACTAATATTTTAATTTAAAGATTGCCTCAATCGAGTGAGGATGATGTAACTTTGAGTTCATTTGAAAAAAGCAAATCGAGCCACATTGTGGACACACGATTTGTCCAAATGCAGCGGACAGATAACTTATTTGCATACACGCCCTTTCACCTCCGTTGAAGCGAAAACTCCCAATGTCAACGTCGACATAAATCGATTAAAGGATTCCAGCAAGCTCATCGTCTCCGGCAACAATGCCTTCTTCGTCTTCTGCCAACGCACCATTGGGCACACAAACAACCTGCATGAGGCTAGACGATGAGCACGATTGGGTGAAAAAGGACACTTGTCGACCCAAAATCCGATTTCATGACTCGGCCACGGTCCATGGCTCAAATCCACGCCGCCAACTGTCGAGAATAGCTCTTTTCGCCCATTTTACGATTGGCAAAAGTGGCGAAAACCGATACAGCAACGCCCACGCATTGCTCACCTGCTGACCACACCATCCCGGGCTCTGCGGCGCCGCTCAGCTGAGCCTGAGCGCCCGAGGCAACCGTCCGGACGACGTAAAATGGACGTTACCGCCTGCGAATAGGCGAGGCTGGCGAGCCCGTGAACGACGTCGTTCGGCCCGCTTCCTATTGGTCCGTGTCGGCTAGCCTCGGTGAGGGCGGAGCAGACGAGCCCCGCGATTAGTTGCCTCTGCGCGCAACTGACGCCGCGCGCACTACACGGACAATGGCCTCGACCAATCAGAGCGACCGACTTGCCGACCGAAGCTCGACTGTCACGACACGCTGATTGGCTGATTTCGGCGACGACGCAGCCACCGCCCAAAACCATCAACTGACTTCCTTCTCCCCGCCTTGTGCTGACAGTCAACTATTTCGCTATTGTCACACACACACACACACAATTCTGTCACACAATCGGTGGATCTGCAACAGGAAATTAATTTCACACCAAGACCAGCCCGTATCTGAAAGTGACGAAGCCTCCAGGCACTCACTCTCTGTGCCCGTTTGTTTGTGCATTACGGCGTCTGTGTGTGTGTGTATACACACAGCCGGGTCCGGAGGTGGCGGGCTGGTGGAAGGCGAGGCAAGTGGTATGGGGATTGTGCGAGCTGGTCTAGCGGCACGTGCCTACAGCGTAATGCAGATATGGCGCAATTGCTTGTTTTCGCTACCCCACACCCACACACTCACACACACACGCACACACACAAACGTATACAGTGTCGATATGTGGCGGAGATGTATCCGGCAGCGCGATGGGACCGGCGAGGCGAGTTGATGGCGGCGAGCGGCAGAGTCCGTCGCCGTCTGAAGAGGTCACCGTGGCTGCTGGCACCCCTGCCCCGGGGTGGAGGGGGCGCGGGAGGAGGCTCGAGCTGTCAAACCGCCTCGGAGCGGGCATAAATCATGCGAGACAATGCCGGCACAAACGGCGCGTCGACAAGCCTCAATATGCCCTCATGTTGGTGCTTCGGGCCAACCGGCGCTTGTCGCCAGTCGCTCCGGCGGCACACCAACACTGGCCACCGGGACGAGTCGTCTGATTGGTGCATCACCGACCCCACTTGCGACGCGCCGATTGGCTGTCTCCAGCAGATCGTCTGAGCCAGGCTCGGCTTCGGGGGCCAGGTGAAGTCGGCCCGTCTGCGGCCGCGTCGAGTTGGTCCGCGTCGAGACGGCTTCGGTCGATCGAGGCCACGATAACCTGTTAAATGTGCGCGAACATTTTGGTTTTGTTTGAAGCGGCAAAAGCGGCGTCATGCACCGTCGAACTGGTTGCACGTCGAGGCCACATTTCATGCTTTGACTGCCGGGCACTACTCTTTCTATTATGAGTAGTTGGTTGATGTCATTTGAAGAACTTTCTT